TTGCGCAAACCTCGTTCCGAGCCAGGCGTCCTCGTTACGGACGAATCCTTTTTGGTGTTGGAAATCTGACGCGTTGCGATTGCTTTCTAGCTCGAGCGAGTGAATTTTATTTGGACAAGATAAATTCACTAACGCGGATTTGCCACCGCGTCCGAGCATCAAAGAGGAAGCGCTACGAGTAGGTTGCAGTTGAGAAGCGAGATTCGTAGGCCTCGAACGTTGCTCGTGTGCTGCGGATGTTTACGCGCTCGGGAGAAGTTGAAACGCGCGGAAACGTACAGAACGCGTCGGTGCAGGCATTCACGAGATAACCAAAAGCAATGTACTATTTGTAACAGCCGGAGGATCACACATAAGGTTCGTTTAAATTCCACTCGCTTGACGATGTACAGGGAAATTTCAACTGTTATTTCCTCTCACGAGATTGCTCCATCGAAGAAATTCTCTGACACTAATAAGCTCAGCGGGCCTGGTCAGGTATTTCAAAATTGTACATTCACTGTTATTTCCTTACTTCGTCTGACTTCGTGCAAGTTCGTATATCGTCCGACTAATCAGTTTCTCAATTTTTCTTCATATAAGAATTTACATCAACTTAGGTGAACAATGCACGTACAATTCAAAAAATTTGAAACCTGTCGCATGACCTGCTAAGCTTAGCAAGCGCAAGTTCCAGCGAGCAGCGGATGCTCGCGATCCAGCAGCTGCTGGCGCAACGAGGCAGCTTGCAGGAGTCGTGAGTAGTAAATAGAAGATGAGATCCTCTGTTTACGCGGCCGTTCTCGTCCGTCCGTCCGTCCGTCGGTGCAACAACAACAGATTCCCGGTGGGTCTTTGGACGACGGTCTTCTGACTTTCTTATCCCCGTTGCGGCCTTACGGATTCTCTCCATTTCGTTCTCGCCAATGGACCCGATGCTTCGCCCCTTCTCTCGCTCTTCATCATCGTTTTCTTCTTCACCGCGCGCCGGTCTCCGTCTAACCGCCGACTGTACACCCTCTTCGTCGCACTCAGAGACATGGGGGCCTAATGAAGATGTAAGCAGTCGGCCGACCCTCGTGCACGGTCGTGCCTTCGTCCTCTGTCTGTCTTTGTCGCCCTAACGTCGCGGCCTGCTTGCGCCGCTTGGCCCTCGGTACAGGTCGTTCCAGGAAGACGCTGCCTAGACACTTCCGAGTTCTAGAGGCCGATACCGGCTTAAGCCGCGGATCCACTTGGCGGAAACCTAAGGTGCATTGCCGCGCTATGGTCAATTTAAAAACATTTGTTGTCAGACGTATATGCGACGTCGTCCCTTTCAGAAAGTCGACTAATCTGTGCCTGGTTTTGGTTTTTGGAAATGCAGAAAATACGATATATGGAATTTAGAATTTGGTGGATTTATCGGTAGAAATTAAAGGATATTTGGTGCAAGTATAAATTTCGCGGAGATGAGAAAAGTATTTAAACAGATGGTTAATTGTCGAATTAGTGAACGTGAATATTTCGCTTAAAGTAAAGCCGCGGATCCACCGGACAGCTAAGGTAAGCTACACTACTCTGTGCTATATTAAACATATTTGTTTCAATATTTTTTTAATGCATACAATGCTCACTAATAGCACAGTTCAGTTTTCCAAAAAATTTTAGAAATTCCCCATAACAATTTAAAGTGACAGAATCTTATTCTCTATGAATATTGCGGCACTGACAACAGCGTCGAACATCGACTTCGCTAGCAAATTTGAAAGTACAATACATAACCTAAACTTGATCCTCCGTAATCCTTCGCCTATGGAAGTATGCAAACCGTGGCAGCTTGCTAGCTAATGAACAACTAACTAATTATCTACTGATTAACAGCACTGAGACAACTGTATTACAATAAAACGATCACGTGAATATTATTTTATATTTGTACATTCATAAAATACACGTGATTGAAACACGTGAAACAGAATCTTATGTATTACTTATAATTGTGTACTTATAATTGTACTTGTGAACTTATAATTGTGTAATTGTTTGAAATTGTTTAAAATCAAGTCCGACTAAGAACTACGAGCATAAATTAAATTTTGAAATTACAAATTGAATCAGAGAATCAGTCACAATGCAAAGTAAATTTCGAACACTGCTAACAGAAGGGAACAAACGAACGAAACAAGAACGTCGATCCATCGACGAGAACAAGCTGTATCTTTCGAAAATATAAGAAAGGAGCTTGTCACTCGTTTCTTGGAATGACCTATACCGCCATACGAACGTATTATCGACCAAAGAGGGCAAAAGGAACCGCTCTTCCGATCTTCCCGCGATCGAGGCGCCGTCTTTTCCTCTCTAAATTCGAAACGAATCCGCTTGCTCCGTACAGGGATGTTCGGATGAAGGGAAAGGGAAAGAGAAAGGAGCCGGAGCGAACGAGACGGAGAGATATCGGCGCGTGTGCCAAGGCTTCTCTGTTTAGCGAACCTACCGCGCGCGCCGCTGCGGTGTGTACACGAAAATAAAGGCAAAACAGCTTGAATTAAGTGGACGCTCTGGATGTTCGATTCACAAAAGCGAGACTGCGCCACCTGCGCCCCATTCGACAGAATATTCCCGCGATCCAAAGCGTAATCTCGAATAATTACGACCGTACCACAACTCAGTTTGCCTGACTTAACCACACTGAGCTAATCAGAAGCGATAAACGTATTATTGGATGCTTGTTAAGTCTACCGGAAAATTCAAAGAAATTTTACGCGGTCTAATATTTCGTGTTGGAAGACGCGTGTGACGTGTATGAAATAGCAAATTTATGATGATATAATGTAATATAATAAATGGAATAAAATAGTAATAAATAGTGTAATATACATATACGTTTATATGTACGTGTTATAACATAGAATAGAATTTGAATTTCTAATTTGTTGATTTTGTAAGAACGTGATATTTTATTAACCTTTTCATTAGCTCATTTGGCGATCAGTTTGCCATTTCGGTGGAGTTCAGTACAGTGTGTTCGGAAGTGTTCGGAAGTATTCGGTACATACATTGGTCGTAACGCGATGTGTTTCGTTCGTTTCGATCTTATCTGCCGCCTCGAGGTCGATTTTTAATTGCGCCCTGATCGGCCGCCGATCTCATACTCGTATTCGCATTCGAATCGCAGCTGCAGGAAACAAGGTGAAACGTGAATCATTGCCTCACTCTGACACGCCGAAAATTGCATCACGATCTTAATCTCTCTCGTTCCTTTTAACCTTCTCTCTATTTTTCACGCTGTCCGCGAAATAAAAGAAACGTCAAGAAGAAACTAATACGTGGAGGGGCAGAGATTCAAGCTCGTAAAATAAACCGAACAGGAAACGCGTAACAGGTACACGGGCGCAGGCGCGCAGGTGATTGAAAAACAACATCCCCTTGGCAGTGCTTGTTTCTTCACGGTCGGTGTACGGTGTCGAGCAGCGTGCAAATAGAAAATAATCGTGCAAAATTGAGGCTAACATTACGCGCATCCGCTCGATCGCTGATAACGTTCAGCCGTTTATACGTCAATGACGTATTCTAATGAGAAGCTGCGCGTTATGAAAACCGATCCGTTTCCACTCGTACACGTTTCGTTGCTTTCCCGACTTTTAGTTAGCACAGTTAATTGGCAGGATTAACGGAAATATCAATTACACAGGAAATGTTGCTTGTGATCTGGTTTGTCACGTGTTTCATGTTCGTTTCGTGCCGACGGATAGCTCATATCTCGAACGTTCTCTACCATTCGATCGTTCCGAGAGTAATTTCGCGTTTTTTACACGAGAAACATAGACGATCTTTTTTATTACCAATAAACTAATTAACTAATGTTTATTTGTCCATATATTTTTCTACAAAGACAACACTGTAACACCATCATCTGGAATTATTAATAATTATTTAGAAAGGGAAAATGCACCCATGTTCTATGCTACAGTATCCTCACTGGTATATAAAACATTTCCCAATGAAAAATCAAAATTTGTCAAGCTTGCCACTTACAGTGTTTTCTACAAACACTCTTGAATTTTCCCTTTGTCTGAAACTTCTGTGTGTCGAATTTTCCTTTGCTATGCCTGTTTTACTGAAAAGTTTGATAAGTCGAAACTTCTGTAATTCGAAGAATGCAGGTCTTCCCTTGAGGCTCGAGTTACAGCAGACTCGACTGTAATAGTAAAATGTTCAAACATTGGAACAGCAAAGCGGCAGGTGGTCGAACAATTCGCTTCTCTGGTACGAACACTTTCCTCGTTTGTCTGTACGCACCGGTGTATATTGATTTAAAGCAGCCGGAGGATCTCCATCTTACGAATCTCTGCGAATAAAACGCGACAATTAAACAATGAACGTTGAAACGAAGGGACCCCCTCCGTGTCGACGATAAAACCTTCTCGATTACTTTCCTCGTGTTCCACCGTGAGCACAGAGTAAACGAGCGAAATCAAGGAAACCATAAAGCAACGTTTATCGATCTCTCGCCGACGAAATTTATGCCCGTCACACACTTCTCTCGGAATATCGTCAAATCGCACGACCGAGTCGTAAACTCTCCTTCTTTTCCATCCGCGGAATGTCGTCGTTGCGTCTTTTCAAACGATCCAACATACACCATCGTCCGCAAGTATTTCGACAAATATTGGGTTGGCAAAATGGTGGTCCAAGCGTTGACACTTTTGTTGCATTATCGAAGCTACGTACAGAGAACTAGTTTTCCTGTTGCCAATAATTCGAACTGGATTCGAAATAAATTTGAACTGAACGCATTGAATGCGTTTGACGAATATACTCGCCGTCGCTTGTAGTTAGTTACGCACTCCATTACTGAACCACGTGACAGATTTCTGAAACTAAATTCCGCAGATAGGTGGCGAAACAGGGCAATATAACCTGAACTGCTCCTCAATTCCACGTGTATCTGTTCTCTCGCGACGCCCTTAACCTCCTCACCTCCGCTGTCACCTTCGCCCTAATCTCTACCACACATCCAAATTTCCATTTTCTCCTACTTTTCTTCCTGCCTCTTTCTCTTTTAACCCTTTGCACTCCTATGTCGAGTGTGACTCGACATCAGTTCTTATCTCAGGAGCTCCTTTGTCGAGTCCCACTCGACATTCTTTCATGTTTTTTATAAAACATGCGAAAGAAAACCAGGATTGCATCCTGGAAATTGTTTCAAGATATATCGTACACTTAAAAATTAAAAAATGCAACAATAGTATGAATAAAATTGTTATTTAAGTGAATTTCTTTCTTCCTTTATTTATTTAAATTGTCTTATTTTTTAGTTAAAGTAAATTTCAAATAAAACACTTAAAAGCGCTGGGAGCTGCTGGTTACGAAATTGAAATAAAATTCCGAATGCAAAGGGTTAACACTTAGCCAACTGCGCGCGCCACAGCGAGCCATACGTTTCCAACCTACAACAAACCAACCTACACGCTGTCTAACGGGCATTTTTCCAAGTATCGAGGAGTAATATTCATTTACTTAAAAATGACAAAAGAGTCTAAAAATTATTGTAGTCGTTAATTATATGTCATAAGACGCGAATTTGTCCTCGATGTGTTGGAGAAGTTAGTCGAAAGTTTCAAAGGATGTTGCAACAGTTTTTAAGTCGCTGTATATACTCTTCTCCGCACGGCTCGGTACAACTGCGCCCGCATATCCCGCCTCGGCTGCAGTCGCCTCACGGATATCCGGTACTGATCCGCATGACGCACGCACGCCGCACATCTCGGATCACCATCTCGAAAAGCCCACATAAACTGTGGCCCTGCGTGCGAGCTATCGCGCCGCTTCTCGCACGGTCGCGCAACCCTCGCGTACCACTCGACCGATCGGCGCGGTAAAAAGCCACGACACCGGCGTGCAAATAGCTGCACGCTTTTTCCGCCAGTCGTTACTCCTTCCCGATACGCTATTAAATTAGCTGAGATAGAGAATGAAGGGTTCCGCGGGCACCTTTGCAGAAAATAAGGGCTGTACCGGTATGCAATTGCATTGGATAGTCCGATACGTGTAGTAGAAGACAGCTTCTTTGCGAGCGGGCACAGTGAAAGTGTGCGAATCAATTTTGCCTCGTTGAACGCAATGTTAATCTTCGTGAAGTATATTTGACGAAGAGACGATTTTCTTTGGGATTTTCTTTAAAAGTAAAAATAACGTGGAATGTTTAGAGGACATATTTTAATAAAGAAAAGAGAGAGAGAGAAATGATAATGTGTATAGTAGAACACGTATACCAATACCATGCAGCCGCTTCTCTCGCTCGTGTCGATGTTATTAACACATTGTGTACGGGTCACGAGCTATCTCGTTTTTAGCAAGCCGAACGTTGTGGCTGAGTCACGAGATATCTAGTTTCCATGTTTTTTCGACTGAATCGATGGCTTAAGCAACCAGAGGCGAATGTTTTTGTTACGTTACCAGGGTAATAAAGCCTTGCGCATTCTTGTGGCAAAACAACTGAGTGTTGACATTCCAAGTAAAAACAATCAGTCAGCATAGCCAGTATATCGGTAGATCTGCGCCGATCGTCTACCGTATCTCATAAAGTGTTTTATTTTTGTACATTTTGTTATTTCGAAGTTCGTGTTTTTATTTGTAAGAAAGCAGCTTTTTAAAAATCATTTAAATTTTCAATCTGTTACTGATCATTTATAACACAACTTATTTTATGAAATAAGTCGTAATTCTATAAAAGTAGCCAAATAACACATAGATACAAAGGAACTAAAGGAGACTGAATAAAAACTATAATACCAAATACAAATTAAAAATCTGCACATATGCAAGCATGCTACTGGAGCGTTCCAAAATGTGCAGGGAGCGCGTTGAGCGCGCAGAGCGCCCTCCTACACAATGTGTTACCAAACCTAAACGCTGATGCAATCTTGAAAATGAAACTCTTAATCGTGTGTTATATGGCAATGTAATCTGTACGATGTTCGAAGAGTTCAAAGAATATTACTCTCACGATATACGCAACAGTTAACAAATTTTTGCGATACAGTAAGAGCGATAAAATACTAAAATACTTTCTAAAGTACCTTTTTCAAAAACTGACAAGTATCGCAGTCTGACAAATAGCCGAAAATTTCAATAGAACGTTTGAGCACAATAAGCGGCCAGGTAAATGGTTTTGTCAAAACGTTCTTAAAAGCGCGGGTTAAAAAATCCCGCTGCCATTTGGGCTTTTGAGGTCCCTGAAACTTCTGTTCGAGATGGATGACTTTTTAACGATTTCCCCGTGTGATTATCGCGCGGATGCAAATTTATGCCAACTTTGCTCGGTCGGCGAGCACATCGCGTTTTATAAAACGGCGGCCAACGCGCCGGACCACGCTTCGCTGATCCGACGGCC